TGTTGTCCAACATCTGAACTCTGATCTGTTTAAACCCCGAGTGGTCGATACAGGGGCACTGGTAGGCCGACGGAGTTGTCCAACACTTTGCCACCTGTTGTTTGCACTTTTGGCATCTGATGGGCTGATCGGAAGACCTGTCAAGTATTGGTTGTGACCCATTCAGCTCAGACATCCACGGCTGAGGATCTATGAAAACATAACCACAGGTGCCCTTTATTGCGTCGCCACTTCTCTTGAGCACATGGAGCTCATGGAAAAGCCTTTCACCACATTTCTTGCAGACATACTGTTGCCCTAAATTCAACGGTTGTGTCATATTCTCGGCGGCCGTCAGTCTGGAGAAGTATTTCTTCATTTTAAACGGGAATCTCTGAAAATATATTTCTCTCATATACTGTCGAAAGCGATGGCTGTTTGCGTCCAACCGATAGCCCATCTCCTGCCACAACTCCAGCTGAGCCACGAATCCCGGGTTTGGGTCAATGATAGGGCGCCGGGACCTAACAAATTGGACGATCTGTTCGTACGTGTTCTGCCGTTTTTTCATCAAATAGGAGCAGACAGTGGTTGACGATCGAGATATACCGGCCGCGCAATGAACGAGAATCCCTGTGCCCGACACCACACACCTGTCGATGATGTCATACATCTCGGGAAACCACGTCAATAGGTCTTCATCTTCCGCATCGTCCGCCTGAACCCAGTAGTAAGTGATGCCAGAGATTCTGTCTTCGCGGGGGATCTTATCGGATATGACCGACAGAATGGTTGTGATGTTAGCCCTCCTGAGATCATCGACTTTCTTCGTGGCCGCGATTCCACCCAAATATAAGACGCCATCGATTTGGTTCATTGTGTACATGAGAGCCCAGTCCTCAAAGTCATTATCTGTCGCCATATGACTGTCCAATATATGAATTGTATTAATTGTTTAATTTAAATACCAATCGACCAAATGGGGGTTAAAACCGTTTGTAATTCTGGACCCTTTGTTACGGAATGCAAGTTATATACCCAAGTGTTGTGTTATTTTGTTTATTCCGTAACAATGGGTTCAGAATTTGCAACGGTTTAAGATGTTTATTATGAATTCATGTTTATATATCTATAAATAATTGCCATTATTTAGTACATCAATTTTGATTATTGAGTTTAAATTAAACTAATTGAACGGATATATCTTTGTTTGTCTAACTGTCAACTGATTTCATTAAAAGCCAAATTCACTCATTTTGCGCACAATTGTAGTGATAATCGTTTCTTCAATGAATGAAAGTATAAGATTCAGTCACTTCTGTCACGAATGTCGGCCAGTAATGGATGACTTATACTATAGTATATATGGCCACCAACTCATTGCAACTCATCATTTGTCGAGGAGTTAGTGGACGAGTCAACACATATGGTGGCCAATGAGATGCAGGCGAGTGTGGAGGAGCTGAACGGCGACTCCGACCCAGTGGTGGGCACTTCCAGTGGTTACGACTCACACGAGCAGAATATGAATGCGTTGGACGAGCGACCGGTGGCAGAGAGGACGCGCTCCAGAAGTGTGGTCCAAATGGATTCGGGTGTCGTTGTCGTGAATGTCGGTGTGATTACGAACCAAACAATAGATACGAACACTTCGGACGAGCACTACAGCAGTGGTAGCGATGATGAAGAGCTGTCATCATCGCAGTCGCCATTGTCGTCGACCGCATCTTCGCTATCGAGCTTCACGTCTTCGTCGGATGTGTCCAACGATACCGAGCCGACGGCGGCGACACAGACTCACGAAGAGGACAGTCGTCTGTTGTGTATTACAAAACATGAAAGGAATGAATGAAAACTAAAAATTATTTGTAATTTTTTATTAGATTAAGTTTTTTTTGTCATTTTTCGTCATAAATAATACAATTAATATAATCTATTCATTCATTCGCTTAATTTAATTCAATTTAATAATAATAATAATCATCAATAATATTATACAATATATTTATATTAATAAAAAGTTTACAGAAAATGTTTCCATCAATAGATAGAAGAGTTTACATTAAAAAATCAATGAATACCTAAAATCATAATAATTATATATAAAAATCAATGAAATTTGTTAATAATTTCATGACTAGTCATTAATAAACAGACAAAACATTTGTTGTATTTCACAATAAGGGAGAAGTGTCTCCAAAAATTTGAAGTAATAATTAAATTATTTAATCAAAAATTGCTTTTTGTTTTTCAATTTCAATTGTCATTATCAGGAATCAGTCGGTCATGCGTTCAACTTATTTGACACTTATTTTTGTAATAATTTTATACTCAATTGATATTTAAAACTAATATATAATTAGAGAAATCTAAATAAAACTCAATTAAAATATCATTTATAGGAAAACCTTTTAAAACAAAAATGTGTCGCAAAATACATTTAATTGAAAGGGAAGTAGAGATTGAAAATAAAAATAAAATAAAATCACAATTCAATGGATTTAGTTGTCCGGCAGTGCACTCATAGCACAGGCGTATAAATCCATAAAATATTTATAAATTATAAAAATAAAATTAAAAACAAGTCATTTGTTTCACTGCAGCCGTCGGACTAGACTTTTATACTTTCAAACAAAAATTGGGAGAAATAAACAGAAAAATGAGTTTTATATCAGAAATACAACTCCAGTCCAAAAGGTAAAAAGTGGTCAAAAAAGTTCAGTTCTCCCCTTTGAGTGCTTTTTTGTTTTGTTTTATACATTTCAATGTATGGAATAGTGGTGTAGAAAATGATTTTTCAATATTTGTTTGTCTCGTATATAAAAAAAAGTTTGTATTTTAGTCTCAAATTTATGTTCAAAAGTTTGGAAAATGTTTGATAAAAATTGAATTCACATTAAATGGTAATAAAACCGTTCGCTTGATTGCCACCCATTTGTTTGGCACTCAATTCCCGCACAATTAGGAAGAAACGCACATTTGATCCGCAAATGAATACAATTATTTGAATGAGAAGTGATGTTTCACTCATCTCTGAACCAAATTCACAATATCTCGGAGTGTGTTCTGAATATCAGTTAATAATCGGTTTGTCGTCAATGTGTTGGATGTCTTCAATTGATCGCAATTAGTGTCAAATTTGGTCAACAGTTCCCTAAATCGGAAGCGTTGCTGAGGCGGACACTCCTCTGAATACTGTTTACAAGACTGTCTGAAGAGTTGAATCTTGTCTGTCAATTGCATTATAGACTGCGATGTCTGAGCTGTGGGCGCCGTGGTTGCCGACGTCGATTTGAGCGATGATATACTGGTGTCGATGGCACCGGATATCTCCAGTATTGACGACCTGTCGCATGCGTTGACAGTCTTCGTTGTAATCAAATTCTTATCAATCGATTTGAGACCTAATTTAGAGCCACTGCTCTCACTGTCCACTGATTCAGACTTGGCTTTGACTAACTTCTGAAGCGGTGCTCCTGAGGGCAGAACTCGCGAACCAGACTTCAATTGAGGCTTATTTGGCAGCCTTTCAAATCATACAAATCATAATCATTAGTCACATGTATTATAAACATAACATATAATTAACAAAACAAATAAACAATAAGTATGCTTACGATGGCTTTAAAAACGAGTGAAACACTTCCTTGTCGTCCTTTTCCTCATTTATCTTAAACACAATATTATCGGCCGAAGCGCTGTTGTCAGAGCGCCGTAAGCTCTTCAACACATCACCCGCGCGTTTGACATTAATTTTGGGACTTTGCGAAGACTTGTTCTTCAGTGGGCCGGCAGTAACCGCCGAGTTATCGCTACTCTTAGCGGTTATATTAGATTCACAATTGTTCTCATTATTAGTGACATTCAGATTATTTAAATTATTACTATTACTAGACTGTGATTCCCATAACTTCTTAAGGCTGGTTATACTACTCGAAGAATGACGTTTGCCTTCATCGTCAGCGTCATAACCACTGCATCGCTCCGCTGGTGGAGGGGATGACAAAATGGGTCCACCTTTAGGACTGGTCTTTAGGTGACTATCAGTGCCATTGTTCTGGATTTGGTTCCGATTTGTTTGTAAATTAATCTCATTTTTACTATTATTAATACTTTTCTGATTACTATTACTATTATTACTGTACTTATTATCTTTATCTTCATTTGGTTTCATAGTTTCAAAGGGTCTCTGCGGCGTTCGTTTAAGTACTGGAGTGACATATTCGGCGACAATTGAGTTACGAGCGACCTGTGCCTGAACTGGAGGGGCCGGTGCCGGATAGTCGGGCCCCGGTTTCGATTGAAATCGTCTCAGAAATGATTTCGACTGCTTTTGATTGCAATTCACGACAAACTTATTATTCTTGACGGACTCGATGTTGTCTTTCGACTCTTTGCTTGTGACCGACGGCTCTGCGGTGACGACCGACGCCTTTGGCTCACATTCCGTCTCCATTTCCGCCCTTTTCTTCTGGGCCTTCATTTTGAAGCTCTCGAATAATTCGGACACCAGTTGTGCGGCCGGACTCTTATGGGAGTCTACGGCAGCTTTCAGTCGATTATTACTTTCCGATAATAAGTCACTTGAATTCGATTTTGATTTCATGTCTTCAGTCGCGACATCCACTCCGTTCTCCCTCTCTTCGGGATAGGGATCGGGTGGAGACGTTCCGCCGTCACCTTTGAGTAGCCGTTACCAAACGAGCGCTGATGACCAGAGCTGAAACCACCTGCTCACGACTCCTGACCTAAGTCTCCTTACTCTCCGTCTCCCAACTCTACTGTGCCTTACTCCTTTGTGTTCAGGACTGGGAGTACTCGTGACACTGTTCTGTTGATTCATGTTGTGATCACAATAATCAAAAGAGCCGCTGCGAGTCATGCCAGGGGGTGGAGGACTGGGAGGCCTGTCTTTGGGCCGGTGCTGCTTCTTCAGCGTACGGCGTATTGCATTCGAGCCGAAGGGCGCTGGCGGTGACGGCAGGTCTGCGTTGGTTTCGTATGGGATTGCGTTATCACTATTACGTCGAGCACTAGTATTAAGGAGTAATTTATTGCCATTGAGTTCGTTATCGACAGACATTGGCTGCCGATTACTGCTGGAGGCCGTCTGCGGCGGTTGGGATGACTTAGCAGCGGATGAGGACTTCCGCTGAGAACTGGTTCGTTGAGTATTGCGCGGCAGTCGCGGAGACGCCACTGGCTTTGAGTTTAAATGTTTGGTTTTGTTTAGATTATTGGAGTTATTACTCAAAACGATTCTGTCGTTTAGGAGATCCGTGTCGTAGGTGTCGACGCCTCTGGAATGAGTCAAATCAGACTTCTGGCGCTGCAGATAACCCCGGAATGAATAGCGGCCGTTGTTATCGTCCGAATAGCGGTTATCTTTGGATTTACTTCTGTTTTTGGAGACATGCCTACCGATGGTCGCGACAGCAATGCTGGGTTCGGCACCGATTGAGTAGTCGATAGGAGACATGAGATCAGATTCAAACACATTCTCGTTGACAGAATCGAGGGGCTGTTGGTCTGGTTGTGACTGACGTAATGACTCTAAATAAGCGCCAATTCTGGCGCCTTTGGGTAGAGTTCCGTAACGATTGATCGCACGCTTCACGTTATGCACATCAAGGGAGGCGACCTGTACTTTGCGATGACTGCCCTCCAAGTCGTCGCGTCTGGACTTGGAGTTACTCTTACTCTTCTTCCCCTTCCCGGACGCCCTGTTCCTGGAGTGCAACTCTTCCAGTGTCTGAAAACAGTTCTCCGATTCGATGGCAATCTGTTGCTCGTCGTACTGTAGCTCTTTGCTCAGCGATTCAAACACCTTTTCGATGCCATTCATCGTCTCTCTCGCGCCCTCCAGTATCTCGTCGTCGCCCAGAGGTTTGTCCTGATATGTGGAGTCACGGAAACTGCTGGTGCGCTTGGGAGGGATGGGCGCCTGCTTTGACTTAAGGCCACCTCTTCTCAACTGAACGACAGTAGACTTCGTGCTTAT